AAGGTGGCTCAGTGGTAGAGCGCTTGCCTTGCATGCATGAGGCCCTGGGTTCAATTCCTCAGCACCACATAAGCAAAAAGAAAAAAGCCGGAAGTAGCGCTGTGGCTCAAGTGGTAGAGCGCTAGCCTTGAGCTGAAGAGCTGAGGGACAGTGCACAGGCCCAGAGTTCAGGCCCCATGACCGGACCCCCCTCCAAAAAAAAAGGATCTTATGGATGGGCTGGGAAGGTGGCTCAGTGGTAGAGCACTTGGCTTGCATGCATGAGGCCCTGGGTTCGATTCCTCAGCACCACATAAACAAAAAATAAATAAAATTAAAATTAAAGGAGAAGAAAGAAAAAAGAGATAGAGGGAGGGAGGGAGGGAGGGAGGGGGGAGGGAGACAGGGAAGGATGGAGGAAGGGAGGAAAGAAAGAAAGAAACTCTGGTTGTTTTTTTTTTTAATTAATCTTTTTTGTTTTGCTTTGCTTTCAGGCTGGACTGCCTCATGCTTACCGAAGCTCTGCAGCTTTCTGGGCATACTCCAAGGAGCTCCTCTGTTCCAAATTTTCATCTTTGGACCATATTTTCTCAGGAGATATGGGCCGTCCTTCCACCCTCATGATATTGTTGGCCATCATTTGGACACTGTTGGGCATACATTGACCAATGAGTTTAGCCATAATTATGACTTTGTTGAAAGAAGTTATAATCTTAGAATTAGGAACATTAAACACACACAAAAAAAGGAAATAGAAACTATTGGGCTGTCCACTTACAAAAAGAAAATAGAGATATAGCCAGTAATCTTGATGTGTGTGAAAGATGAGCTTACAAAATAGTCTTCAAACATGAAATGGCTATAGAAATAAATTACAGTATGGGGAATTTAAAAAAATAAAAGGGCATACTTTCAAATGAGAAAAGGGCCTTTATTGTTCTTTCCCCAGAAGACACAGAGATGCTTGCTGTCCTATTTTAAATCCTAAGGTTAGAATCTGAACTAAGATTGCCTTTCGTATTCTCTGATTGCACTGGAAATCATCAACATCACGTTTATCCCTAAATGACTCATTTCCAATGAATCTGCAGGGAAAACAACAGGACACAAAGAAGGAACTCACCATTCGCTGGGTTGACTGGCTATTTCACTTCTGTTTTTTTCATTAGTCACATGCTCCCTGACTGTGGGAGGGGCTGTGTAGCTTAGCCTGTCCATAGGCCCTGAAAGTTGAGGCAGAAATATACACTAGGCTGTAGCAACTGCACCTTCCAGAACATTAAGTGCTAGATATAGGGAGTCTGAGCTCCAGCAGGGCCTATTTGACAGAGGGGACAATCACTGGACCACGGAGAGGGTCACTTTCTTTCCTTCTTTCTTTTTTTCTTTTGTCTTTCTTTTTTTCTTTTGTCTTTCTTTCTTCCCTCCCTCCATCCCTTTCCTTCCTTCCTTTCTTTTTGTCGGTTGTGGGGACAACTCTGGGCCTGGGCTCTGTCCTTCAGCTCTTCAGCTCAAGGCAAGTGCTCTACCACTTGAGCAACAGCACCATTTCCAGTTTTCTGGTGGTTAATTGAAGATAAGAGTCTCATGGACTTTCCTGCCTGGGCTGGCTTTGAACCACGATCCTCAGATCTCAGCCTCCTGAGTAGCTAGGATTATAGCCATGAGCCACTGGCACCTGGCTCTTTCATTTATTATTATTATTATTGGTAGTACTAACAGTAGTAGTAGTCGTCGTCGTAGTAGTAGTTGCTGTTGTTGTAATATTGGGGACTGAACTCAGAATCTTGTGCTTGGTTCTCCCACTTAAGTCATGCCCTAAGCCCTTTTGTTTGTTTGTTTGTTGTTGTTGTTTTATATACATAGGCAGGTACTCAGGGCCTAGGGTCTGGTCTGTCTCTGGCTTTTTGCTCAAGGTTGGCACTCTTCCACTTGAGCCACAACTCTATTTGCAGGATTTTGCTGGTTAGTTGGATTTGTTTCTGAGTTGGCTTCTAACCACAATCCTCAGATCTTAGCTTTCTGAATCTCTAGGATGAGAGATGTAAAGCCACCAGCCCATGGCTTAAATTAATTGTTCTTTTAAAGGCTTCTCCTTCCTCCAAAGGCTAAGAACCAGTGTGTGCCAGTGACTCCAGCCTGTAATCCTAGCTACTCAGGAGGCTGAAATCTGAGGATTGTAGTTTGAAGTTAGCCTGAACAGGAAAGCCAGTGAGACTCTTATCTCCAACTAATCAGCAAAAAGAAATGAAACTGCAGCTCAAGGCACCAGACTTGAGCAGAAAAGCTAAGGAACAGTGTCCAGGCCTTGAGTTCAAGCCCCAGTACTGGCACATAAAGAAAAGAAAATGCGTGCTGGGAATGTGGCTTAGTGGTAAAGTGCTTGCCTAGCATGCATGGTTCAAATCCTCAGTACCACATACACAGAAGAGACCAGAAGTGGTGCTGTTGCTCAAATGGTAGAGTACTAGCCTTGAGCAAAAGAAACTCAGAGACAATGCTCAGGCTCTGAGGAGTTCAAGCCCCAGGACTGGCCAAGAAAAAAAAGAAAATGCTAAGAACCCCAGTTTTAGGGCACAGCTGTTCTGGAAATCCCCTCACACCTAACCAAGACCACATTCCTTTTCTTATCTTTTTTCTAGACCCTCGCAGAACCCACTATGGAAACCCTAGTTTTGATTATCTGATTATCTCTGAGTGAGTATCCTGTGGAAATTGAGAGGTTTGCTGTTGTGGTCACCGAGGTGGGGGGTGTTGATCCAACCTAGGGCCTACTGCATGTGCTTTTACCCCTGAGTTATACCGTCCCCTAGCCCTGAACTTAGAATTTTGAACTTGATGTCCCACTCCATAAATTTACAAAAAATCAAAAGATTTCTGGGAGGGATGTAGAAAAGACAGAGTGAGAAAAAAAGGAAAGAACCAAGAAGATGGCCAGTTCATAAAGCAGGTGTAACAATCCCTCCCACAGTTTTAGGATGCCATCTTGAGCCTCTCACCCTTCTTGGATTTCTCCAGCATCCGCCCACCCAGTGTACGGAGCTGTCGGTGTCCTGCATGAACCCGAGACTGAGCACGGCCCAGGAGAGAGGGGCCACCGCGCTGGGGCTGCCAGTGTAGCCTGTGCCAGGATGGCCGCTGGTGTGCTTCGGGTCGCCGCCGCCGGCTCCGGGGCTCTGAAGGCTGCGCTACCGCTGCCGTGGCCACCAGGTCTCGGCCAGAAGTCACTCTGAGCAAGGCGGTCCTCAGCCTGCAGCAAGATAAAACACCCGACTTCCACCCTCTTCTCGCTTCCTGGTGCTGGGGATGAACCCAAGTCCTTCAGCAAGTTAGACCCGGACTCTAGCGCACGGCTGCGGCTCTTGCCAGCACTTCCTAACACTGTGTTGTTCAATTAGAGTTAAGAGTCACGGATTTGCCTGCTCCTGCTGGCTTTTGAACCTTGTTACTCAGATATCAGTCTTCTAAGTAGGTAGGATTTTTATTTATTTATTTTGTCGGTCGTGGGGCTTTGAACTCTGGGACAGCGTCCAGGCCCAGAGTTCAGGTCCCACCACCGACAAAAAAAATAAAAATAATAAATAAATAAATATCTGTAACACTCTTTGAGGTGTGAAAACATCACATTTCTAGATGCTTAATCTCAGCACCTACCTTGATAAAGAAATGGGGAGGAATTCTCTTGTTATTGGTTTCTTTCTTTTTCTTTTTTGTCAGTCATGGGGCTTGAACTCTGGGCCTGTCTCATTAACTTTCCTGCCCCGGCTGTCTTTGAACTACAATCCACAGATCTCAGCCACCTGAGTAGCTGGGATTACAGGCATGAACCACCAGTGCCCAGTTTATAGTCATGATAAACACTGCCAGGAGCTAGTGGCTTACACCTATAATACTAGCTACTCAGGTAGCTGAGATCTGAAAATCATGGTTCCAAACCAGCCCAGGCAGAAAAGTCCCTGAGACTCTTCTCTCAAATTACTCAAAAAGCCAGAAGTAGAAGTGTGGCTGAAGAGGTACAACACCAGCATTGAGTGAAAAAGCTAAGGAACAGCATCCAGGCTTTGAGTTCAAAACCCAGTACTGACATAAATAAATAGACATAAACAAAACTATCAATTTTTAAAAATGATAAATATAAGCAAAAACATTTTTTTTTCTTTTTGGGTCGGGTAGTGGGGCCTGAACTCTGGGCCTGGGCACTGTCCCTCAGCTTTTCAACTTAAGGCATCTTTTTCTTCTGCTTATGTGGTGCTGAGGAATCGAACCCAGGGTCTCATGCATGCAAGGCAAGCGCTCTTACCACTGAGCCACCTTCATAGCCCCAGCAAAAACATTTTTTGTCTCCATCCTAGTGCTTGAACTTAGGGTCTGGGTGTTACCCCCAAGCTTTTGTGTTGAAAGATAGTGCTATACCACTAAAGTCACAGCTCCACTTCCAGCTTTTTTAGTAGTAATTGGAGATAAAAGTCTCATGGGGTTTACTGCCCAGGCAGACTTTGAACCACAATCTTCTGTTGTTGTTGTTGTTGTTGAACTTGAGGCCTAGGTGCTGTCACTGAGCCTCTTTGTGCCACTTAAGCCACAGTGCTTCTTCTGGTTTTTGAGTGGCTTATTGAAGATAAGAGTCCCATGGATCCCCTGTCTGGACTGGCTTTGAACTGTAATCCTCAGATTTTAGCCTCTTGAGTAGCTAGGATTATAGTCATGACTCACTGGCACTTGACTTCAAAAATTACTTTTGATTCTTTTTTTTTTTGGAGGGGGGTCCGGTCATGGGGCCTGAACTCTGGGCCTGGGCGCTGCCCCTCAGCTCTTCAGCTCAAGGCTAGCGCTCTACCACTTGAGCCACAGCGCCACTTCTGGCTTTTTTCTTTTTGCTTCTGTGGTGCTGAGTAATCAAACCCAGGGCCTCAGGCATGCAAGGCAAGCGCTCTACCACTGAGCCACCTTCCCAGCCCCTTGATTCATTTTTTTGACATTTAAATCATTTTCTGGTATGGACATCTAACGAAGTAATTCCTGTTTGTTTAGTGTAGAGAAGCTGGTGGGTAGATACAGCTGCTAATTTTTTTTTTTTTGTTGGTCTTGGGGCCTGAACTCTGGGCCTGTGCACTGTCCCTCAGCTCTTCAGCTCAAGGCTAGTGCTCTACCACTTAGCCACAGCAACACTTCTGGCTTTTTCTGTTTACATGGTGCTGAGGAATTGACCCAGGGCCTGATGCATGCAAGGCAAGCACTCTACCACTGAGCTACTTTCCCAGCCCCACAGCTGCTAATTTTTTGTTTGGGGGGGGGTCCAGTAATGGGGCCTGAATCTGGGCCTGGGCACTGTCCCTCAGCTCTTCAGCTCAAAGCTAGGGTTCTACCACTTAAGCCACAGCACCACTTCCGGCTTTTTTCTTTTTGCTTATGTGGTGCTGAGGAATCAAACCCAGGGCCTCATGCATGCAAGGTAAGCGTTCTACCACTGAGCCACCTTCCCAGCCCATAGCTGCTAATTTTTAAAAGATAGCTCTGGGTACCTTTTGATCTCATCCTGTTGTTTCCACGAAAGCTCCTTCACTGACAGGTGCTCATCACGAAGTCGAAAGAATCTGTCCTCCAATTCCTCCCGGGTCATCCTGCTCAAGGATGGTTGAGACTTGATATTCTTACCTATAGTCCCAGGAGAGGATAATTGGAGAATGTTTCCATGATATTTTAACTAAGCAGATCTATCATAGCATCTTGTCTAGAAAGCATGATTCTAACTAGTCGGGAAGCAGATGCAATGACCACTCTGGAGGCTTTCTCCAATCTTTCTAGCAAGAGATGTGATTTGAATTTTCTGCAAACTAATTTTCTTGATAAAAATACCTAGTAGAGCTATTCTTCCCCCTTAATCTGTGTGTTTGTGTGTGTGTGCATGTGCATGCACATATGTATATGTGTGTGATCATGCTGGTACAAGTGCTTGAACCTAGGGTCTAATACTCTTCCTTGGACTTTTTTCTCAGGTTGGTGCTCTACTACCTCTACTCCTGGCTTTTTTTTTTTTTTTTCAGTTTTGGGGCTGAACTCAGGGCCTGGGCCTGTCCCTAAGCTTTTTTTACTCAAGGCTAGCACTCTACCACTTGAGCCACAGTGCCACTTCTGGCCTTTTCTGTTTATATAGTACTGAGGAATTGAACCCAGGGCTTCATGCATGCTAGGCAAACACTATCACCAAGCCATATTCCCAGCTGCCCAGCTGTTGTTGGTGGTGGTCATGGGACTTGAACTCAGGGTCTGGGTACTGTCCCTGAGTTCTTTTGTTCAAAGCTAGTGCTCTGCCACTTTGAGCCACAGCTCTACTTACAATTTTTTGAGTGGTTAATTAGAGATAAGAGTCTTATCAGCCTTAGAAGATGCTGGTAAAAGACAAATAGCTCTTTGAACTATTTTTGTAATTATTCTATAAATCTAAAATTAACTCAAAATTAACTCTATAAATCTAAAATTAACTCAAAGTCAAAGAACTGTGTTTCTCCAAAGTCCCTTAGTAGACTATAGGAAACTTCAGTGCTTTGAAAGGGCACAAAGATGTCACAAATTTGAAATGTATTATAATACCAAATTAGTTATCATGATCCTTACAGAAATCCTTTTACTCTTTTACTGTACATTCTTCAAAGTACACATGCCTCAAACTTGGAACCAGTTAGTGGTTAGTGGCCTTTGTATCTTGGCAGATACTTATTTAGTATCTGGGGATGATTTATCATAGCAGGTATACTTTCTGGTTGTTGATGTTTTGCTGCTTGTATTTATTGAATTTACATTTTTGTTGTTATCTTTGTGTTATAGCACGCATTCTTTTTACAATCATGCATCAATAGCTTTAGAGATTTGTAGAGTATAAAATTTGAGACAGAAATGTTAATAAATTAGCTCAGAATTGCTAACACAAATGTAAACTGAGAAGAGTAATCCATTAAAAAGGAAAAATTGCAACAAGTACACACTATTAAAAAAAGAAGTATACACTATTGAAAAACTGAGTTTAAACAATTTGTTGCATTAGTATGTTGTCTGAGATGAAACTATAAAGAGTAGCTGCAAGAACTATGATGTTTTCTTTCTCCCTTCCTTCCTTCCTTCCTTCCTTCCTTCCTTCCTTCCTTTCTTTCTTCCTTCCTTCCTTCCTTCCTTCCTTCCTTCCTT